GCGCCTCCCCGCCCCCCCCCCCCCCCCCCGGCGGCAGGGCAAACAAACAGGCGGCGGCTCCTAGCCGGTCGGGCTCACACGTGCTCCCAGCCGCACTCTTGGCACTGGAGGCTCAGCCCCTGGCGCGTACCGGGGCTTTACCCGCGCCGCTCGCGCTGCCCAGCCGGGTTTCTCTTAACCCCCCCCATGCATCACTTCGGTGTCCCCACTAGGGCTGGGGGCGAGGGTTGCTCCTCAGGGGGCCCAAAGGCTGCGGAGGGGACGGACGGGTGTGTCTCGGGGCCCTCCCCGCCTCCCACGAGAGCAGCATCAGGAGGAGGAGGAGGCCGGCTGCCGGGGCCGCCGCCGGAGCTCACACGCCAGCCTCTCCCCGCGCTCCGCACACGCCCGCCGCAGCGCGGGGCGGAGAGCCCGCCCGGGGGGCTGCCCCCTCTGCTCACTCCTGCCTGCACCTCCCTAGGATGGAAGTGAAGTGAGGAGCTCTGCAGCCTCAACTGATTTGGCAGAGAGAGAGAGCGAGCCCAGCCAAGCCACTGGTGTTTTTTTTTACCCCGGCAAAGTGCTGAGAAGTTTGTGGAGCACTTTCTAGGAATTAGCTCCGAAGAAAGACCTGGCTTTTGGATTGCCATGGACAGCTTTAGCCACCCTTGAATAAGCCCCTCGCCTTGGCCTGGGGGAATTTAGCCAGCAGTTGTGTGCAAAACCCCCCCCCAAAAACCAAATAAAAAAAAAAAAGCAGGAGTCTTTTTGGAGCTTGCTCTCTAATCTGGATGGATCTAAATGTGTCACATCCAAGACCTTTCCAGCTGCAGCGTCTGCCTTGAATACCCCTCTCCCTGCCCCTTCACTTTAATGAACTGCTAGGAGAGTGTAAACTTCTGGACCTACCTCTTCTTATCATCATCATCATCACTATTATTATCATCACATTCTTTTTTCTTTTTTTTGCTGGGGGGTAGTCTTTGGGATTGGTCTCTCAAGTGATCTGGATTGCTTTTAATATGTCAAAATGGGTCTGCTGACACCACTCCTGCTCTTTGGATGCATCTCATTCCAAGTTCATGGTAAGTGTGCCTAGTTGGTTGGGTTTTTTTGTTTGTTTGTTTTATCCTCCTCTGTCATCTCTTTGCAGCATTTCTCTTCATCTGACTCTGATTTGGGACAGCACATGGAGGATATTAGGAAGCTTTCATGGGATGGGATCCACATTAAGTTTTGTTTCTGCTGAAGAAATGGCATTAAGGAAAAAAGGGAGTTGGGATGGGAGGGGGAAGGGGAAAGAGGGGTTATGCATGTTTCGGATAAGCAGCCCTTCCTATTTGCCAACTGAATGGAAAAGTAGTTCATGAATGGGGAAAATGTCAAGCTAAAAGAAAGGAATGAGACCACCCCCCCCCCCCGGGAATCTTTCAGAGATGCCAACCTGGATATGTGGATGTTTTTGCCTGCTTCTATTGTTAAACTTTTTGGTAACCATTGATTTTTTTTTTTGTTTAAGGAAGGGTAGGAAGGGCTTGCTCTGATTCCAGCGAGGTGAATGGAAACTGGCAGAGCCCCTAGATGTGATCCCTTTGTATCTGCTGGCAGGCAGGAGGAGTGGAGAGGGGTCTCAGGGGGGTGACATTTGACTGGAAATGCACTGTCAGGGGAAGCCAACCAAAGAGGGTGGGGTGTGCAGAGGAAAGTACAGCACCAAAGCCAGGCAGGCTCGCAGAGAGAAAGCTCTCCTGGGAGTGAGTAAAGACAATAGAGATGCTGAACAGGTGCTGTAGGTGTCTCCCCCTACTTTCAGAAAGTCTCTCAAGACCAGACCAATATCCTTAGGTGTGCTGTTTTTTCAACTTCTGGTTCTTGTTCCATATCCTTGGCCATTGTTGCAAGATGATCTTTGTTGTGAGACTCAGCAGCATTTTGGAGACAGTTTATTTTGGGATATCTCTGCATTTGCTTGGGGGGGGCGGTTGTTGCTCTGTGTGTGGCACAGGCAGAAGGGGACACACACATGCACACACACACCCATGTCCCCCTCCCCCCCCTGCAACCACCA